TAAAAAAAAAAAAAAAAGTCACTGGGGAGAGCCAGAGGTTTTTGGCGGGAATCAGGGAAGTAGTTATAGAAACCTACATAGAGAGGGATCCAGCAACTACATGAGAGTAGACAGAATCCACAGGAGAAGATCCAGCAATGAAGATGGGGATGGGCAGATCCCTTGCTGGGAGATCTGCAGATCTCAGCAGCCAGAAAGATGAAGGAGGCAGAGTTCCCTAGATCCCAAGAAAACAAGAAGTAACACAAACGAGGCTGAGACCTTAAGTTGGTTTTTTTTTTTTTTCATTGAAAATGTCCATTTAAAAAGCACAAAGAAATTCACACTTTATTTAGACAACACTGAGAGCATGAAGAAAAAGGAGCAATGAGTTGGGAGAAAGGGAGATCCTGCTCCCAAGGATTTGGGGAAACAGTGCGGGTACCTGATCTACCACATTCAGAGGGTAGGGATGGGGAATGATGTTTGGTACCCTGGGTATGGAGCAGGGGAAAAATTCTTGCTATGGAGGAAAGAAGAAAGGAAGGCCAGAGGAGAGCTCCCCCATTAACTAAAGACAATCTCACAAGACAGGAATATATCAGCATCTAGCTATCAGGGAGGGATGGATGCAAGAGGGGGTTCCAGGAGCTAACAGATCCTTGAAACAGACTTACCTTCTGAAACAAGGCTAAAAGTGCCCCCAAGGTGCTTTCTGGGATTTACTGCCAAAAAACAAACTCCCTGACAGAATCTGGGTCTGGGGAAAGTGGTAGTGTCTTTAGAAGTGTGGTGAGTCTTGAGAGCCAGAAAGCAGACATAAACTCAGGGGTTCCCTAACATATATATAAAACATGTTGTAATAAAGAGCTTGGCAATACTGAATGGATCCCTTTAAGGAGATGGTAAGTCCCTGTCCTACCTAACTGGACTGATCTGAAGCAGAACTCATTGGCTGGCGTTGGCAGAGTGAAAGGTTTAAGTGTGGTAGGTAGCACATAGTAGTATTAGGGCTACCAGGAGACCCTGTAGAGTCAATATGGGATTTATTCCATGGACAAGATTCCTTAAAAGGTTTCCCTTAAAAGGAGGCCCTCGGACCTTCCATGTTGTTCTATAGTCTTGACACCAAGCCAGAGTCTGCCTTCCATGGTGTTCTATAGTCTTGACACCAAGCCAGAGTATGAGGGATCTGGCAGGGATTCAGGCTGTCTGTGGGTGAGTGTTCAGAGACCAAGTTAGAAGAGGAAGGGTGCTTCTATTGGCAAGAAAAGCTACAAAGTATTAGGCCATCTGGGACCCTGACAACTCAGTTGTCCAAGAAATGGAAAGAAGGAATCCTATGGGCTCTGCCAGGTTCTACTGGATCCTGGGGGATACAATGGAAGAGTGGGCCTGGGGTTCTCGGGGAGAGGGGTCTCTGCCCACCCAAGGTCTCCCAGGGAGGGGAAGGAGTTAGCTGTTTGTCAGCATCGACTCTCATCAGAGCGGGGAAGGGAGCTGTGGAAGGATGTTAGGGACAGGAGATAGGGAAAGGGAAAAAGGGAGGAAGAGAGAAAAAGAGAAGTCAGAGGTGAAGAGAAAGCTAGGGAGAGATACAGAAGAAGCCCACTCTATGCCTGCTTGATCGGCCCCTGCCAAACAAGGCACTGACATAGGGCCAGTGGCTCCCCATACTGTGTCGGACATTCCTCCTTCCCAGCAAGTATTACACCAAGATTTCCCTCAACTCAGGGGCTCAGTTCTCCCGACCCATGGATCACTGTAAAACTAGGGTCCCTAGACTCTATATAAAATCACTGTAAAACTAGGGTCCCTAGACTCTATATAAAATCCTATTCTGCTCCCTCCTGTCATTTACTTCCAGATTACTCCCACAAGTATTATCCAATATATTCTCTAAAGGTTGTTTCACGTCTCTGATGGATTCATATTGCCCTTCGCCATTTCTAACACAATCCCTGACAGTTTTGAGGCACCCTAACCCTCCAACTCCTATTACCTGGTACGGCGACGCTGGGTTGGGCTGCCCCCAGGGTCGGTAGCCAGCAGCAGGCGGGCAGTAGAGTGTGGAGGGCAGAGACGCAGGGAACGCAGCAGCTCCTGCTCTGGCACGAAGGGGCGGAGAGGACCCCGTTCCGGTGAGTTTCCCAGGCTGCTGGAGCGGGGGGGTGGGTGGACTGGAGGTGTAGCTCGACGAGGGGCCCTGTTTAGGGGCCAAGGAGGCTCCATAGCTACCTTCAGAACTAGGGAGAGGGAGAATAAAAAGCAAGACAGAGAGAGGGAAGAGAGTCATGACAGCAGATGAGGGTAGAAAAGAGAGAAATCAGAGCCTTTAGAGAGAATGAATCCTTCCCTTGAGTTAAGGCCCCCTAACCCAGACACCCTATCCCAGTCTTACATTCTCGGTCACTAGAAGAGTATGGCTTAATGTCTCCCTCTGCTCTCTTGGGTGGCAGCTTCCTCACTGGGGCTGGCAGTGGAGAAGACACAGGCAAGGTAAGCATTAGGAGACACAACTTTGCACCCCTCCTCTCAGCCACTACCTCCACAACCCCAAACCTCTACTCCCTGACACCACAGTTCCTCATGGGGAAGAAGAGTTCAGCTCTATCGCATAAGCAGCTCTGTGACAATACCATCACACCAAAAGGGAATTTGGGGGCAGAACGGGGAATGCTAGAGCATTTCTGAGGAGAGCCAGAAGGAGTAGGTCAAATGCAGAGTTAGGGGGAAAGATCCAAGGGGAGACTCTGGGGTCTAGGAGGTGAAGGAGAAGAGTGGCCAAGGGAGGTGAGCTCTTACTGTCAGTGGGTGCTGTCAGGCCCCCCTGGGATTCTGGGGCAGTGGAATGGTCCCAGCCGGGCCAATGAGGACCCCAGGTCCCTCTAGACAAGATGGACAAAGCCCTTGGTTAATCAAGAATTGCTTTGGAGAGGTCAGGAGAGGATGGGGTGGGGCAGAACCTCTCCTTCCAGTGCAAAGACGGGAAAAGATTTAAATTGTATTAGGGGAAAAAAACAGATGAAGAGAAAACAAATATCTGGAAAGAAGTTGCCAGAGTAAATAGGAAGCTAATGTATTGGCCTCCTGTCCCTTCCCTTCTCTACTTGCTCCCTCCCTTTCCCTCTCAAGAGGTTCTCCATCATGTGTGGCAAATGAGAGACTTCTCAGTGAATCCACATAAGCTTTATCCAGGGTTTCTCATACTATGGTCCTGAGTCCTCACCATCCTTACTGGCTCTCACACACTCTCATATCCTGTACATAAGCAAGAGCTAGATGGAGGAAGCCCTGGAAACCAACTGTCACGAATATGAATTGCCTCTCAGCGCCAGACACTGATCGAAGCTAATAACTCGTACCAGACTCTTTTTTGGGTGGTGGTTACTCCCTTTCCTGGCCACGGAGGAGGTGAGAGATAGTCACATAGCCAGGTCAGGAAAGGAGGCCTCATGTGCACTGCACAGCCAGCAGACAGCTGTGTTTTTCCACATTTGAGAGGCAGTGAGAAAAGAGTAGGGCTCAGACTGGGAGGGAACAAGTGTATGAGGATGGAATAGGGAACCTGAGCAGCATTTCAGTATCTCCTAGGTCTGGTTTCTCTAGATCAATTTCATTATTTGGATGGAAATGTTATAAATTCTGAGCATTATTACCTAAAACTAATATTTAAACTTTGGGCCATTCATGTTACTATTATATAACTGGAAATGAAAGGGCTGACTATACCTGCCTATCTCTCACTGACTGACAGAAACCTGAGGGGTTTACAAAGGAAAGTGACTCTCGCCTATTTTTATGGATCTGAAGTAGCAAGAGACTCCATCAACATTAATCATCAAACAGGCTTCTAGTCAGCTTGCTTCGTTAAAAGTCTTGACAAGTTCAAATGCCCTGAACTCCAATCAGGGCAAAAGCAAATGGGTAATGACTCTGAGTTGCTTTAGAATTTTTCCATACTGCCCACAGCTCACATTGTGTTCTGTGGCCTCTAACGTTACTAGCCATCATGGCTCTACAGTTCCACCCATTCACTGCAGCTTTACCAGAGGGCGCAGGATCGATCACAGCAGCACGAGAGTGTCGAGTTGCCCTCAGGGAGGGAGCAGGGGGCCCTGTGAGGAAGGAAGCGGTGGTTCCCCTCAGTGAGGGGGGCCAGTGGGACCAAGAATCCACCTCTTCCCTTTCCCTTACCCCAACTATTTGACCAACACACACAAGATGAGAAAACTTACGATGTTGATGGGCAAAGAAGCCTTCAAAGATCACAAAGTTGTTCACCTATAAGACAAAATAAGCAAAATATAGTTGTCCATTCAGCCACTCAGAACATACTTGGCTACAGAACCCTGTGCCAGAATAACCACAGTGGGAGGAACGAAAGCCAGTTTTCCTGTTCTTCTTGACAGACTCAGTCAAAGTTATGTAATTGCAAAGGACCTCGGATAGCCAAAACAATCTTAAAAAAGAACAAAATTGGAGAATTCACACTTCCTAATCTCAATACTACAAGCCACTTTAATAAAAATAAATAAGTAAATAAATAAAATAAAAACAGTGTAGAAGAGGCCTAAGGTTAAAGACCTATGGAATGAATAGAGCCCAGAAATCAATTGATTTTCAACAAGGGTGCCAAGAACATTCAATAAGGAAAGAATCATCTCTTCAACAAATGATGCTTGGATAACTGAAAATTCAATCCTCATACAAGATAATGAATTTGGACCTCTATCTTACATGACAGACAAAAAAAAAAAAAATTAAAAATGGATCAAAGACCTAAATGGAAGAGCTAAAACTATGAAACTCTTAGAAGGAAACATTGAGGAAAATCTTTATGACTTTGGATTAGACAATGATTTCTTAAATATAACTCCAAAGCACAAGCAACGAAACAAAAAAAATGGATAAATTGTACTTCATCAAAAGTTAGAACTTTTGTGCTTCAAAAGACACTATCAAGAAAATGAAAAGCCCACAAAAAAGGACAAAATATTTGCAAATCATATATCTGATAAGGGTGTCATATCTCAACTACTTTAAGAACTGTTACAACTCAAGAACAAAGAACACGACTTAAACATTTTTCTAAAGAAGATACTCGAATGGCCAGTAAATACTTGAAAATTATTAGTCATTAGGAAGATGCAAATCAAAGCCACAGATACCATTTCCCACCCACTAGGATGATTATTTAAAAAAAAAAATAAATAAGGAAAATAACAAACATTGGTGAGACTGTTGAGAAATTGAAAAATTCATCCACTGCTGGTGATGATGTAAAATGCAATCATTGGAAAAACAGCTTGTTGGTTCTTCGAAAACTTAAACACAGAAATGCCATATGATCAGCAATTCCACTCTTAGGTATATACACAAGGAAACTGAAAATACAAGTGAAAACAAAATCTTTTACACAAATATTCAGAGCAGTATTATTCATAATGGACAAAAAGTAGAAACAATCAAGTATCAATCCGTGATAAATGGATAAACAAGACATGATAGATCCATATAATGGAATATTACTCAGCCATAAAAAGGAGGAATGAAAGTACTAACACATGCTACAACATAGATGAACCCCCTGAAAACATTATGCTAAGTGAAAGCCAAACATAAAAACCATATGTTGCACAATTCCATTAGTATAAAATGTCCAGAATAGGCAATTCTATAGATACAGCAGATTAGTGGTTAACAGGAGTTGGGGGGCAGGGGAATGAGAGTGACTGCTTAATGTACCAGGTTTCTTTTTGGGTGATTTTCTGGAATTAGACAGTAGTGGTACTTGTACAACTTCATGAATAGGCTAAAAACCACTGAATTATATATATTTAAATAGTTAAAATAGTGGATTTTATCTTAAAGACAAAACACACAGACCCTACTTTTAGGTTCTCCCAGGAACCAGGCTAATGAAGACACAGTGTACAAAATGTCAGGGAAGACATCCAAAACTGTCAAAACAAAACACATTAATAAGGCCAATGGTTTAAATATACAAATACTGAGAAAAACTAAGATTTAAGTAGGGTTCAAATGGGTGGGGTTGTTGAGGAAAGACAGGCTGGAGGACAGGGTACCACTTTGATAGCTAGTAACTGATCATTTTCGAGTGATTTCATTATATTATCACATTCACTTTGGCCTTCATAACAATCCTTGGAGTCACCACTTTAAAAAGTAAAAAAGGCTTGGAGACTTGGCTTGCCCAACGCCAAGTTGCTACAAGTGGCAGAGCTGGGCCTCAAGCTCCAGATTCTTGATTCTAGCTGCAGCACATCAGGAATGCAGTGTAGTCATTAAGAGTAGGCTACGGGTTCAAATTTGAGCTCTACCACTTTTTTAGATGTGTGAACTTGGTCAAGTCACTAATCTGTATAAACCCAAAATGGAGTCAATAATTGAACCTACCTCAAAGAGATATACAAGCATCAAATGAGATGATGCATGTAGATATCATACAGAGCTCATGAAACATTAGCCATTATTATTCATATTCTATACTGCTCTGGTCTTACACATTACCTGGGTAATGTGTTTAATGCCAAATACTGTGCTTCTTCCACTGCTCTCTGCTTCCTCTGAATGGAAAAATATACATAGGAGGACACTCCAAGTAGAACCTGCCTATCTCCGGCCTTGACCTTGCTGTAATGTCTACCAACTCATCCTCATCTTCCCTCCAGCAAGTACATGCCCAGTACTCCAGCCACACCAAACTGCTTGCAGTACCATGACAGGTAATTTAAATACCTCTCTGACTTTGCTAATGCTGGTTCTTCTACATGAAAAGCACTTTAGCCCACTCACTTCTGTACCCCTGACAAACACTGACCTTTCAAGATTAAACATAAAGTCAAGCCTTTCCTTACTCAATCTCATCTCCAAGGGCACACTCACCACTATGTCCTTAATGCCTCATCTGTAAGCATATCAATCAAATCATGTTACGACAGATTAACTGTTCATGCTTCTATCCAAGGTGAACTTGTCAACCCAACCTTTCCCACCTATTCAATGACAATGCTTTAGTAATTCTCCCCACATTTGACATCGTCAAATTTTCTCTCTACTGAGTCATTCTTATGCTGATAGTTCTACCAACTGAAAAGAATCAACCCCCTCTTGATACATTTCCCTCTTCAGCTCTTACTCTATTTGTTTCCCTTAAAGCAGCATTTAAAAGAGTGGCCTATTCTCTTTTTTTATAATGCCTACAGCACTTGATCTTCCTAGGTGGTCTCCCATCCAAGTACTAACCAGGCCCGACCCTGCTTAGCTTCCAAGATCAGACGGGACAAACACTGACCTTTCAAGATTAAACATAAAGTCAAGCCTTTCCTTACTCAATCTCATCTCCAAGGGCACACTCACCACTATGTCCTTAATGCCTCATCTGTAAGCATATCAATCAAATCATGTTACGACAGATTAACTGTTCATGCTTCTATCCAACGTGAACTTGTCAACCCAACCTTTCCCACCTATTCAATGACAATGCTTTAGTAATTCTCCCCACATTTGACATCGTCAAATTTTCTCTCTACTGAGTCATTCTTATGCTGATAGTTCTACCAACTGAAAAGAATCAACCCCCTCTTGATACATTTCCCTCTTCAGCTCTTACTCTATTTGTTTCCCTTAAAGCAGCATTTAAAAGAGTGGCCTATTCTCTTTTTTTATAATGCCTACAGCACTTGATCTTCCTAGGTGGTCTCCCATCCAAGTACTAACCAGGCCCGACCCTGCTTAGCTTCCAAGATCAGACGGGATCGGGCTTATTCAGGGTGGCATGGCTGTAGACTGAGAGTGGCTTATTCTTGCTGTCTCCAGTTCCTAGCTTCTCAATCTCCTAAATCCACTCCCCATCCAGGCTTCCCTCCACCACTGTACCAAAATAGTTCATCAGGATCACCGTGGTCTCAGGCAGCTAAATCATTTCTCTAACCTCTTATCTCACTGATCAGCAGCATTTGACTCAGTAAGCCATTCTTTCCTCCTGGAAACACTTTCCTCATTGGCCTTCCAGTCACCTTACTTAGAAGTATTCAGCTACCTCACTAGTTACTCCTTGGTAGCACTTGGTTTGTTCTCCTTGACTTCTTTAAAGAGTGTCCAAGGGCTCAAATTCGTGGACCACTTCCCTATCACTCTTTGGTGATCTTATCCTGTCTCACTGCTTTCAATACCCTATGTATACTGAAAACTCTCCAACCCAAACATCTTCTGTAAACTCCAAGGAAAGTCCCAACTGTATTCAACCTGGACTTATCACAGACATCTCCAATTAACATATTCAAAACGGGGTCCTATGATTTCTCCCCAAAGTTTCTCTACCTACCATCTCAGTTAATGCAACTCTATCCTTCCATCTTCTCAGGCACAACTTGGGCATCATCCTTAACTCCTTCCCTCTCTCTTCCACAGAGAATCTATCAGGAAATCTTATTTGCTTTAACTTCACAATATTTAAAATTTGACCACTCCTTAACCATTTCTACTGCTACCATCTTGGTCTGAGCCACCACAATTTTTCATTGGGATTGTTGCTTCCTAACTGGTCTACTTGCTTCTGCCCTTGCTCCCCTTCTGTTTATTGGTAATACCTTAAATGATCTAGTTAAAAGTAAGATCATATCATTCCTCTACCTAAATCCCTATGATGGCTCTCTTTTCTTCTTAGAGTAAAAGCCAAAGCCTTTGAAATCACTTTTAAAACCCAAAATGTCCTTCCTCCTCCATTTACACCTGAGCTCATCTAACATACTCCTGTCACTCACAGCGCTCTAGTCACACCAGCCAATTCACTCTTCCAGGCACTCTACCTCATGGCCTTTGCACTAGTTATTCTCTCTGTCTAGGATGCTCTTCCTCCAGACATTACTTGATTACCACCTTTAACTTATTGCTCAAATGACACTTCCTCAGTTAGGCCTTCCCTGCTTATCCCATTTAAACTTGCAATCCCATACACTCCCATCCCCACCGTGGGACTCCCAAGCCCTCTTACTGGCTCTCATTTTTCCAAAGCACTTATAATCAACCATAGTATATACTTATTTATTATGTTTGTCTGTCTCAACTACAATATAAGCTCTACAAGGGCAGAGACTTTTATCTGCTTTGTTGAGTAAAGTATTATTAGTGCCCAAAACAGTGCCAGATGCTCAATAAATATGTTAAATGAATGGATAGCTTTAGTAACATTATATTGTATTTATTTATAAACCAACCACCTTTCCCATTTTCGACCAAGTGTTCCTGAGGACAGGGAATGTACAGTAATCTTGGCCTTTAATAAATGTTGACTGAGTAAGTAATAGCCTGTGTAAAAATAAGGAGGTGAAAATGAGCTGCCGGATATGTTTGAAGTACGAACATATATTAGGTACACAAAACCACCACAATGAAGAATCAAGATAGATGAAAGTGAAATATCTGCAGAATGAGACACTGTAAAAAAAATCGCTTAGTTGTATAAGATGAATCTTATATAATGAGGAATAAGGAGTGCTTGGAGAGTACCACCGCTTTGCCCCCAAATAATAAATAAATTCAATGTGAATGCTTAGTAGTGGGGATCTAGCCTCTGAAACCTCTAACCTGTGGGACTGTGGTCTCCAGGTTGTAGTGTTTATTTAGGAACTTCAGCAGCTTCTGTGAGGGTCGGTCAATGGCCAGTTGGTGTGGTTCAACTCGCTCCTTCTGCAGGGAACAGAAGCCTCAGGGTAAGAGGTGTGGGGAGAACATGCCAACAGAACTCAGGAGCCTGGGAAGGGAACAGGAGGATGCTGGGACATGTCCAGGGACAAGAGGGTGGAAGGCAGGGGCTCTGAAATGGCTCAGAGCAAAGGGGCCTTTGCTCTCCATTTTGGACACACTGGTGAAGAGATAAGTGTTACCTGCAACATATATTGGAAGAGTTCTTGCCCGTGGCCATGACGCTGCAGTGACTCATGGATGTAAAAGTCCAGGATGCAAAGTGGTTCTACTTCATTGTGAGCCTCGCGATCATCCTAAGAGGTAAAAAACAACAAATACCTTTTAGATCCAAGCCATTGCTGCCACCTCCCACACTCCAGCACTTTTGTTTTCAGGAATCAAAGCATCTAAAACTCTCAGCTTCCAATAACACTCACCAGTACAAAGAGTTTCTTGTATCCAACTTTGAGGAAGCCAATAATGGCTCCTTTTCCAGCCCTATAGGATGGGGAAAATAAGGAACAAGTATCAACTATCTGAAAAGGGTAGAGTCAAAAAAAGAGAAAAAGGCTAGGGGAGGAAGGGATTAAGGACAGGACAGAAGAGCATTTGGCACTCACGGTCGAGCTGAAGTGTCTTTGAGCACATACATAACATGGCGGTTACTCTGCATCCTTGATGCACTGGTGATGGGTGCAGGAAGATGCTGGGCCTGCCAGGGAGATGAAGACAGACTTTCTGCAAGTCCCTTCCAAAGGATCCAGGCCTCCCTTATCTAGTGTCCCCAGAGAGGCCTCCCCTTTACTCCATCTAAAGACTATCCAATACCTTGGCAGAAGCCTTGCCCAGTTCATCTACAATGGTCATAATTTGCTGCTGCAGATCAACACTACGGAGAGGACATAGAGTCAGATAATCATTGAATGAGAAAGCTCTGAGCAATCAGTCCCAGGGAACCTGGAAGACAACCCCAACCCAGTTCAGCAACTAATACTGACTTTATCTTGAAGTCTTCCAGTTTTCCCACCCCACCTCTCTGAAACTTAACTTTTGCCACACCTCCTTTCAATGTGGTATACTCCCTCCTCCCTCAAGGTTATTGTGGGGAAGCAGGAAGGGCGGATCAACCACATCTTTTGGTTTGGACCACATATTTGGCAAATGGGTGAAAAAAGTCAGAGATCCAAGACGGTATCAACCCCATTAAGTCAAGGGTCAAAGGTCACCAACAGGGCGAGCCAGGACATCAAAAGCAGCAATCACTAATCAGAGAAGGGGGCGTGGTGCCTGGACCAGGTTTCTAAAGGAACCGAAAGAGAAGGGCCTTGGGGCAGGTTTGAGATGTCACCGGGCTGGCGTTGTGGTTCCGGGTCGGCGGGCTGGGGGCCGAAGGTGCTGGTCCAGCACCGTGATCCGCTCCGGGAGCAGCACATCCACATCGAACGGGAACTCCATGGCCCATTGTGCGTGGTGGCCACGCCCCACGCAACATCACTTCCGTCCCTCCCTCGCCACACCGCTGCGCTGGAGCCTTTATTTCCTACTTCCGTTCACACCCCTCGCTTAGCCCTTCCCCTCCCTTCCCCTTTGGAGTCTACATTTCTTAGTTGCACTGGGAGGGGCCCTGGACCCACCCCAATCCCGCCTTCCCTCCTGGCAGCCGGCCTGGAAGACCCTGCTGTTTTGGGCAGACCAGTTGCTGTGGCAATGCTTTTTTCTTGTCTCATTCTCCAACCTTTTAGCCCCTAGTATTGTGGGAACACTGCCGCGGGCACAGGGGGCCCAGAAAGGTGATCATGACAGAATGGCACAACTGCCTACCTATTTCAGGTGGCTTCTGGTCACAAGAGTCACTGGTTGGTCTGGCTCCAGCTTGACCTCCCCTCTCCCCACAGTAGCACCCATTCCCACTAACAGGAATGACATTCATCTGAAACTCAGCCCAGAGACAGGAGAAACAGTTTTATTGTGAAAAAGCAGTTGGCAGAAGTCTGCAACAGCAACAGAATGTTGAACACATCTTTTTACATTACATGGGGGTTATAATTTCCCATAGACAACTGTACTGCCCTCTCTCAACCTCAGATGTACTCATCCCCTTCAACAACAACCATTTCCTTTCTCTGGTTCTGGACCTGCCATTGGCCACAAAATAGACACAACTCTTCAGGATGAAATCCCATCACATAATTCCTAGGCATTATCTCCTAATCTCTCAGGCACCCTTTCCAGTCTACAGCTCCTACAGAGTACTTTGGGGGCCCGCCTGTTCAGTGGAGGCTTCAGCTCCAGTTGTGAGTGGCACCTCAGGCATTGACTCAGGTGGGGGGCCACTCTCTTCTTGGAGGTGGCCTTGATATAGCCGACGAAGGCGGGACAGCTCTCTCTCTCGTGGCTGTTTCCAGCTGTACCATGGGTACCAGGGGTCACCTGAAACCAGAGTAGGGGCTGGAGGAGTTGCACTCACAGCTCCATGAGAATTACTGAAGTCAAGGTCCCGAGGTTCAACCTGGGGAATGTGGTAACTCAGGAGACCTAGGGGATTAGGAAAAAAGAGAAAGTGAGGGAAGGGAGGAGGTGGAGTAATTCACATTAAAAGAAACAGTAAATAACCTATAAAAGGAAAGGACCAGTCAGAGCCACTGAGTACATTCATGCATTTTGTATACTGCACAAAAGCCAACTGGCCAACTGGGCAAGTGTGGGCTGACATACTACCTGGGCTCTTGCCTACCAAGCTGTGCAGCCCTGCGTCAGGACTAAGAAGCTGCATCTCCCCTAATGGAGGGGTACATTTCTCTAATTTGTACAAAGGTATCATGGAGCCCAGGGCCAGAAGTTTATTCAAAGATCCTCTTATGACCTAGTTATGGCATTGGGACCAATAGTTACAAAAAAAGAGGGACGAAAAAGGAAAGAGAAGGAACAAGGGGACAGTGGGATGATGAAAGAATATATTCTTGAGAAGAACATGTTAGGTGCTAGCCTCTCAGACAGGTGGGAGCATTTTATATCCATCCAGCCCTAAGCCACCTTCTTGATGCTTAACAAAACTGCTTTGTGTCCCTTCTCACACTCACCATGATCCCTAGCTTTCTGGATGGCCTGGGTCAACTTCTTGTGCTGCTTCATACAGACCCCTGTGAGAGGTAAAATGGTAACACAGTGCTCATTCTATTAGGCACGGATCCTTTTTCTGACTGTCTTTCTCTGTGTCCTACAAAGAACACCTATATACCCTTTGCCTACACTGAGCAAGTGTGTCAACTTTCCTATTTTTGATCCCAACACACAAACTGATTCTCTTTCTCTGTGTCTCTCTCTCTCTCTCTCTCTCTCTGTCTGTGTCTGTCTCTGTCTTTCTCGGGTCTAAATACCACAGAAAAGCCATTTAATGGTAAAGGCTCCACGACAGGGAGCAGTACACAATTCAAAAGGCAAATGTGCTTAATTAAAGGGTTGGGTAGGACAATACACAGAAAAATTCAATAAAGAACTGATGTCAGGTCTGGGGAAGGCAATCTTCCCCAAAGACAGCAGTAAAATAGTCTCTTTAGTTTTTTACAGCTGGACAAGAGTTTAAAACTCCTCTTTAAAACTCCCTGACAAAGGATGTCTTCGTAGTGTAGTGGTTAGCATGTCTGCTTTATACGCAGAAGGTCCTAGGTTTGCACCCCAGGTGGAGCCATGGACCATACCACGAGTGCACCAGGCCCCAGATGCACACCCTGAGAGTGTGGGAGACACCTTGCCTTCATAGATCCAATCCTTAAAGGGAAACAGCAACATCCATAGGTCAGGGGTGGAAAGGTCGGGGGGCAACAACTCCCTGACGAACTCCACTATTCATGCTGCTGTCCCCAAAACAGTAAATTCAGATTATTTTTGCAATTTTATCTTGCTTTAGAGTGGGGGTTGGCAAAATTTTTCTGAACAGAGCCATGCTTTAAGGGTCCTAGTCTATCTCATCTACTCAACTCTGCCATTGTAGCCTAAAAGTAGTTGCAGACAATAAGAAAACAAAGGGACGCAGTAGGGAGCCAGATTTGGCATGTGGCAGAAGTCAGGGAATAGATGTGATTGTGTATTGTTAAGTTTACAATTCCAAGTTTGAAAAATCTAATTGAATTGTCAACAGTATAAAAAAACTTATGGGATAGTTAATTTATGAGAAAGCCTTTTGGAAAAGTGAAGAAACCTTAAAGAAAGGAAATAATCACTAACATTTATTTTTTAAGAGCTACAATTAGATAGTTTGCTTACATTGACTCTTGCCTGTATGTTTTGTCCATAGATAACTATTTTAGTATATGAGTATCCCCATTAAGCCAAGATTTCCAAAAGATTCAATCACACTGTTTATGAAGAATAGGAGCCACCAAATACCTGTTGTCTGACTGAATAAACGAGAAGTGCTCCAAGGAAAAGCTATTCTGGTAGTGACATGGGCTAACCTGTGTATGGCGCATGGAAGATGACACCGGTGTGGGCACAGACAAACTGTCCCAAGAGCTTCACGTTCTGCAGGAGAAAGTGGTGGAGAAACCAGAGGGTGGGGAGAGAAGCAAGACCTTTAGAGACTGAAAGTACACCTACATAGACAACCTCAATCCCTCTATGTCTCTCCAGATGCTACCCTCTGTTATGTCCCAGTTTTAGTCCCATCACTTTACTGAACACATTCTTGAAGACTCCAGCAAACATTTCCCCTTTCCTGGCTTTTCAACCATTTCACATGTGCATCCTACATGCTGTCACTGAGATTCACACAGAATTCTTTTCTGCAGGAGTCAGGCTCTAAAATCAGCTCTCATGCAAAAATATGGGGCCAGTCAGTTGACAATCCCTGAAATCTCTCAGAAAATGTAGTATATGTTGTAATGTGAACATATGAATGGTTGAGGTATGTTATATATTGCATGTTTTATATAATGTACATATTTACACAGATGAATTTTAAAGTTTTAATTATGTAGAATGACTCTCAGCAAGTTAATCACAGGAAGTGAGATCCGAGAAAAAAGCAGGGTACACTTATGGAGTGGAATGGCAAGTAGAATCGCCTGCACTATTAAATTTGTAACCTTTCTCTCTCATTATATGATTATCAACTGTATAAAGTAAGTTACAATCCCATACGTGGTTGAAACTGAGAAGTTCCCTACTGGACTCCTTTACAACTTGTGTCAAAAGGGGCCTCAGAACTTTCAGAAACCCTCTTCACTGACTGATACACGAATGTCCTACAACTTCCCTGATAACCACTCAGCTTCTGATCTAATACCTTCAATAACCAATTCAGAAGAGTACTTTCTCATTATCATTTTTGTAAGGTTCTTGAATTCTTTAAGGAGCAAGTCCTGTCTTTCTCACAAGGAAGGAGTTTTGAAAAAAATAACTGGACTCTATATATGCGCTCTCCAGCTGCAAGTCTCAGCATGCCACCAAACATTAACATAACAAGGAAATAAAGAAAATCTCCGAAAAACTAACCCAATCTACTTGCTAATAATTGTGATAGATATAAATGGACCTTTGGGCATTGCTCTCCCATTAGAAATGGGCATTTTTTTCTTGCCTGCCAATTTAGACTATAAATTTCCTAAGTAAAGGATGAAGCTTTTTATTATCAGCCACAGTCAAGGGCAAAAGACTAGAGAGAGGGATGTTTTCATAGTGGCAGAAAGCCAATACAAAATGGACTGCAGGGGCTCTGGGATATCAAGAGTGGGGTACCTATGGTAGTCTCTTTAGCATTACAAAGAGGCTCCAAATCCTTGTCCTAGAGAAAAGATTCTCCTTACCCTAAAGTCAATGTGCAGCTTGTGATCCCGGCAGATAGGGCAGGGGTTCCCAGCAACTTTATTTTTACGCTGTAGAGAGAAGAAACTGGCAGGTGAAGACGTTCCAAGTCCTGTTAAAAAAAGTGCTGCTGCAACTGTCACTATGGTCTTCACACCCCCTTCACATCCCACCCATGTGTCCCCCTCAGAAACTTACAATACATGTCTTTCGAGTCCGCTGTGGAGGTATCCCACCTTTGTGGTTTCGACGGTAGTCAGCCCAGACAGGGCGAGAACCATAACGGGTCTGGTATTCTTAAACGAAAGACCACACAAGTTAGGGTGGAGGAGGGATCTCTGCCCATTTGTTTCAGACCGTAGGTGACCCTCCCCTTCCCCAATGAGAGGTACCTTCTGAGTCCAGATATTTCCAGGGTTCATCCTTATAAGGGGAAATGGGAAACAAGGGCAAAGAATTGTCCTCAAGGCGGGCTTCGGTGCAAAGAGTCTGGAGGGGAACCTATGAAAGGAGGGTGAAAATAAAAAAATGAATTCAAGGGACCTAATTGAGTCCTAATTGTTTTGCCAACATTTCAGGGAGAAGAAGAATGCACACCCACTGTGTTAATGGAATACAACAGGAATACATATGGAAGGTAACATTTTTGTTGGGGTTAAATTGACATCAACAACAATCACTCTCCCTATCTCCAACTGTATCCTGAAAGAGAATATTAGAGGATAATTAGGATAGGTGACCAAGAGGCAATCTTATTTTAGGGGACAACTTAAAAACCTGGCACATACAAGGTATTCATGTTTTTTGGAACAAATTGAGTCTAGTGGAGGAAAAAGGATGAAGGAAAGGGAGGATGTCTAGCTTCTTGGAAGTAAGATATGTGGCAGGAAGGATCTGTATAGTACAGGTGAGTCTCCAATTCAATCCAATCCGGAATCACTGAGTTGCCCAGCTTTATAAAAAGTTAAAGATCAACATTCCATAGGGAAGTACAAACTTGAGTCCTAATGCTGGCTTTAAAGCTACCAGGCCTGTCATTAACTCTGTCCTGACCCCAGTCACCAACCACTCTTAGGTCCCACTTTAGGGCGTGGCAGCTGGGCAAGCCTTCCTAACTCACCTCACCCCACCAAGAACCTGCACTGCCCTACCAAGAACCTCCAGGGTGGTGAGTACATGAGACTGGAGATAAATTTCAATCCAAAAGACAGAGTTAAGCTCTCAATGTATGCTCTGATAACAAACTGATTTAGTGAGATAAAAGGCTGAGAAACCGGTCACCAGGTCGAGAAAATGAATCCTGGCTTCACTGGGAGATAGCAGGGCTGGTAGAAGTTAGTGTCCCTGAACCCAAGGACACATCAGGGAATCACAGATTTAAACATCATCTGCATAGTTAAGAGTTGGTTGTGCATGGACTAAGTTGGGGTGGGGGTTGGGGTCCATTCCTTCACCTATTTAGCCAGGATAACAACTTGGGAAGATGAAATCTAACCCTGGCTCTTTGTCCTCAGCTTGGGATTTTACAAAGAACGGATATTTGAGAAGGGTGAGGGGAAAGTGGAGTGGTGGGAGCAAAGAAAATGTTGCCTAGATAGCTGAGGCATAAGCACGCGAGAAAGTCTCCGCTTCTGGCTTCCCAGGAATTGAACGATAACTTAGAGAAGGTATAACGAAGTTGGGGTTGTACAAAATGTGCTCAAAGGAGTTACCTGAACTCCGTAGGCACTTCTGATTGACGAAAGTCTAGGAAGGTGCCTCAGCGGCGTATTGAATGCGGAGGCCGCCATCTTGACGTATGCCCA